ACTGATATCTAAAGTACTAATCATCACATTTCAATGAATCTAGAATTATGCAGACCCAATTAGTTTCTGGTAAATAGTTGTGCATATTAATCACCTAATTTGCATAAATAACCAACTTTCACACTGATATCTCAGGTACTAAACATCACATATCAATGAATGTACATGGATGCTGTAGGACAATAGACAGGCCTGGATAATTGTGGGTTAAAATCTGTACATATTAATTACCTAATTTGCATAATTAACCAATTTTAAGCTTTCACACTGATATCTAAAGTACTAATTATTCCATTTCAATGAAACTTAGTACAAAGATGCTCTAGGTACAAACCTAATTAGTTTGGGGTAAAAATCTGTTCATATTAATTCCCTAATAAGCATAATAATTCATAATTTTTTGGTTCTAATCACATTTCAATTAAACTTGGAAACATAGATTTTCTGTTACATTGCGCAGACCTCATTAGTTTTACACTCAAATCTGTTCATATTAATTTTCTGATTTGCATAATTAGTTTTCAGCTAAGTAATTTCGAATTATATTTAATGTGTCTCCAATTCTCTCAGCACATGGGAGTTCTTTCTAAGCTTTTTTTGATTAGTCATTACTTTCACTTGCAGGAAATGTCTAATGCAAGTCGTAGTTTTACACTACGTGACATCAACTTACTCAAAGTCATACTTTGTAGTGGATTCTATCCACAGTTTGCGATTGCTGATGATTACAACTCCTATCGCAAAGATTCAGACCAAGTTTTTCACACCAAGGTAAGTACCACTGTTCAGTCTGCATTGGTGTTAGTTGCCTGTGTCACCTACCTGCCTGTGTAGGTGGTTAGATTCAAATACTACTGTCAAGTCAGCAATGAGATTTCATGAAAACTTAAATCCTAGTTTTCTGCTACAACATTCTGACGCATGAAAATGTCTCTCTCAAAAAAAATTGTAACATTTTACTTACTTTGTTAGAACTTATTTTAGTGGTTCAGGGCACTGCATGGTGTACAAATTTGCATTAACCTTCCCATGATGCAATTCTTTTTTTTAACACGCAATAAGACCGGTCACCAGCAGCATAGTGGTGTAGACTCATGATCGGGTAGACCCAAGTTCAAATTCTACCTTCGGTTGAACACCAAAATAGGGTCAACCCCCTACCCCCACCCGCACCCTGGGCAAGTGGACCACAGACTCAATGAGAAGAATAAATCCACTGGCCGAGATTCATTCACTAACAAATCCGGTGCTTCTGTTTAACTGGGCCTGGTTAATGCCAGGATAGTGCATTACATTCCCATAATGCATTTATGATAGGGAAGACAGTCACACGGCCCTGTCATGTAGTCCCAAACTGGTCTTTGTGCAAAATGCATTATATATCAGCACTCGCACAGTAACATAAATACGAAGAGACAATATGCTATTAGTTGTTTGTTGGATTAATGATGTCAAACTAATCTAAAGGATTAATGATGTTTTATTAGATAAGGGTTTGCAACTTTAATATCAATATACAGTGATATGCGTTTAAAATCACATGATCTCGCGAGTGCCATGTGTTTATTAATCCAAACATATTTCAACCTACTACATCACAGAATGCAGTGGGCACTTGAAAATGTTTTATTACATAAAAAA